AATCGCATTGTTGTCTATCATATGAACTGAAGTATTATCAGATCATGATTATCATCATCATCACTGATTTCCGCGTGAACAGCAAAGCGATTCGATAAGTGACGTTTGGTTTTAAAATTAGTGATTTGAACTATTACATTAACACTTGTTACCGAATCGCATTGTTGTCTATCATATGAACTCAAGTATTATCAGATCATCATTATCATCATCATCACTGATTTCTGAGTGAACAGCAATGCGAGCTTGAAAATGTTACTACTCTTTCGTGTTCCGATTTATAATTACGTGTGATTAATTGCCATTTAGTTCTTTGCGAGTGCGCGTCTGCAGAGAGTTGTCCAAAAGTCTTTACAAAGAAAAAGCCCCGTCCTCTAAGGATTAATATTCCGTAAAACATTAAATGATTGTTTACCGAATACTACTGGGCGGGTCAAGGTTTCTTAATACTTAATGTGTACATGTATTAGTGATAACTTCAACGATAGTACGCATACATTATAGATGCATGACTGCAACATTATATTAAATCGGATAAGCATTTAAGGTGAAGTGAAACACCCTTCAAATCACTCGATTTGAATACAGCACTTTTTTTTTAGGGTATTAAACCAAACTGTCCGAAACTTTGACACGTCACTCCTGATCATCTAAGAATTGTCCTGACACATTAAAAATTTGGATTTTTCAAAAAAATTTTTTGACTCAGCCTAGATCAGGACCAAATAGCGATGAGCTCTCATATTTCGATCGATATACAATTATCGAAGGCTCTGATATGAAAATCGAAAGGGTCAGGACAATTTTTCGACAATTTAGAACACTGTGGTAATCGATAAACTCGCATTTGAACGGGATAATGGCAAAAAAAGTGTTGTATGCGCTTGTATGCCAAAACGATGACAATACGAGGTCTCGGAGTGAATACTTAATTGACCTGGAAATCACAGATGGCGCAGGGGGTCCCTCTGCAGTCAATTAGAGCCCCAGAAAGCATGAATCTAGAGGATTTCTGGAGTTTTACTTTGATTTCTTTATAATTATTGTAAACGAACGTCGGCAACGTAGGCATTAAGAAAAATCTTCTTTATCGACGTTGACCAAGTTCCTCGACGTGTTGCACTTCACCTTAAGGAAGTCTGTGTCTCCCCTCTAATAGGATACAGACCCCGCCAAGTTGTACTTGATAAACAATCACTTAATGTTTTACGGAATATTAATCCTTAGAGGACGGGACTTTTTCTTTGTAAAGACTTTTGGGCAACTCTCTGCAGACGCGCACTCGCAAAGAATTAAATGGCAATTAATCATACGTAATTAAAAATTGGAATATGAATGAGTGGTAACATTTTCAAACTCGCATATAAATACATTAAATTGATGTCAACCCCGACTGGAAAATAAGTAGATATGTAATCGTGTTTTGTGTACTCGGCTTTGTAATATGATTTAAATGCTTTTTGTATGGAAACTTTATATGTAATACACATTTTTTGTATAAGAAGTTCACAGCATTCCTGTAGTCGGCGAAGTATTTTGCACGGAAGTGTTTTTGTGGGGATTTTATAAATTTTTGTCTGTATAACATTAAGAGCAAATAAGGACTGAAACAGATGGTAGGCTTTAAATTAGCTTAAATTAAATACTTCTATATTTGACAAAACAGTCATTTGGTACTGAATATAATTTAACCAAAGAATATAATAATTTAGGGTAATAATGAATGAATGTAAAACATTAAATGAAGTTTAAATAATGCTTTACATTTCTTTATTATTGTACAGAAGTATCTAGGAAATAATTTAATTTTTAGGAAAAGTACTTGTATAGGGACAGGGACATTATATGTTAGAAATGTGAAATTGTTCGATAAATAGATCTGTACTAAGCATCGATGGGTTGTGTAACCTACATACATTATAATAATAAACTATATTTAATGTTATTCTTAATTTCATTTCCTTAGAAAGGATATGGAATAAATATACATGGGTGAAAGCACAAGCAGTATTAAAACAGCTTGCAATTAATCACTACCTATATTTATAAGAATGTACAGGAAATGAAAATAAGAGAAGCATTGGAAATTATATGCAGTGAATATTACGCAGCCCCTCGATTCATAGTATAAATGTATTTTCCTACCCATGTACATATTTTTCTTAGAAGGTAACTTAGAAGCAATATTAAAACAATATGTCATTAACTCACTACTTATATCTAAGAGAAGTTACAGAAAACGAAAGTAAGAGAAGCATTGAAAGTAGTTCACAGTTATATCATGCAGCCCATTGATTCACATTATAAACGTATTTTCCTATCCGTGTACATATTTTTTTTTAAAACTAATTAACTTATATATTTGAAATTTTACATTTATGATTGCTGTAATTAACCTCCTGGGCTAGAATGGCGTGTTATGTATCTCCAATAATATTTACTTCTAAAGTGGGAAAGACATTCTATGCACGTAGACTGATTATAGTATATGAAATCCCCTCAAAACGCCTTCAGTGTACCAAAATTTAGCCAAATACGTTTATCTTTATTCAATTAATTACAAAAATAGCTCAAATTGCTCCCTTCCCATGAAAAGCTCAAATCAACTATTTTTGCCAAATATCGTAGAAAATTCATTCCATTAAAATCACATCTAAAATCTTTTTGCCACAGTATGTCACAGTATATTTGGTTTCACATATGTTGTATGTACAAGATTTTCTGCTTCCTCAAACTGAAGACAAATATGAAAAACTATATCGAAACAAATAAAAAAATTAGAAAGTAAATGTGAAAACAATATTTTATTTGGCAAGCACCCGAGGTATACTCTTAGCATATGATCATTTTGGTGCTTGTTAAATGAAATATTGTTTTCAAATTTGGTTTCTAATTCTTTGATTTGTTTTGATATAGTTTTTAATATTTGCCTTCGGTTTGAGGAAGCAGAAAATCTTGTACGTACAATATACGTAAAACCAGATGTACTGTGACATTTGGCAAACTGATTTTAGCTCAGATGGAATGGAATGAATGTTTTACTATATTTGACCAAAATAAATGATTTGAGCTTTTCATGGAAAGGGAGCAATTTGAGCTATTTCTGCAATTATTTGAATAAAGATAAATGTATTTGGTTAAACCTTTGTACACCGAAGGTGTTTTGAGGGTAATATACACTTCATAGTATATTCAATGCTTTTCATTCTCATCTTCTGTAAATCCTTATATGTCACTATGTATTACGTTTTGGCACTTGACAGTCACTTTGAGGTTAGGGACAGGAAGCAGGGTCTTGAGGTTAGGGGAAGGGGCTCCCGCGCGGGACGTCTTGTGCGCCACTAGCGCCATCCACCGACTAAAAAAGGTAACGGAGGTGCGAAGATGACGTATCCGAATGAGCTGAGACGCGGTCGTATACGCAGCGTCGAAAATAATTATTAAAATCTTTGTAGCCAATATATCAGGTTATATAAAATTGATATAAATACAATCAGCGGAATGTTCTGAACAAGATTCATGTATTACATATTGGCTTCCAAGCAGAATAAGTAACATTTGAGGCAAAATAGTTCTGGTATACGGGTCTTCCGGGTAGACCGGCCTAATAAGGCGCGTACAGTAGATAGAGGAGCTGCCTCGAGTAAAAGATCCTCTGATCGGGCGGCCTTTAACTCGGCACGGGACCCGACCGGGTCTCTTTATGCGATTCGGTAAGTGACGTTTGGTCTTAAAATTAGTGATTTCAACTATTACATTAACACTTGTTACCAAATCGCATTGCTGTCCATCATATAAACTCAAAACCAATTGGCTCTCAAATCATCATCACTGATTTTCGAGTGAACAGCCCCTCGTAAACGGCAACGCGATTCGTTAAAGTTTGGTCTTAAAATTCGTGACGTCGCATATTAACCCTTTTAGTGCCGGAGGCCGATATGTGCCCTTAATTATGAAAGTGGTCTAAGTCAAAATTTAAAAAAAAATGAGTTTATCAGTTATTTCACGCCATATTATTTCAAACGAAATTAATTCAATGTAATTTTGAAACAAAAAATATATGACTTAGACCACTTTCATAATTATGGGCACATATATCGGCCCTCGCTGCACTCGCGCAAAGTGCCAGAGTCGATATATCGGCCCGCACCTTGTAGCGCTTTACTATTCGCTTTGCGAGAGATCTCTATCTTAACATAAATTTATAATACGTTATAAATAGTCTAATTTCATTACGAGAGAATTAAAATAACNTTGGCAAAGAAGCGCATACAACACTTTTTTTGCCTTTATCCCGTTCAAATGCGAGTTTATCGATTACCACAGTGTTCTAAATTGTCGTAAAATTGTCCTGACCCTTTCCATTTTCATATCAGAGCCTTCGATAATTGTATATCGATCGAAATATGAGAGCTTGACGCCATTTTGGTTCTGGTCTGGACTGAGTTAAAAATTTTTTTTTTAAATCCAAATTTTCAATGTGTCAGGACAATTCTTAGATGATCAGGAGTGATGTGTCAAGGTTTCGGACAGTTTGGTCTAATACCCTTAAAAAAAAGTGTTGTATTCAAATCAACTGATTTGAAGGATGTTTCACTTCACCTTAAAATCCATGATTTCCTTCAGCGCGCCGCGCGTCGCGTTGCGCGGCGAAGAAAGACGCAAAGTCCTTCTCCAGGATTTCCGCAAAAGCGGGCACGGTATCGAAACCAAAGGGAGGGGTGGGCCGATCCAGCATCGAAGTTTGCCGGCGACTCCGGCGTGGGGTACTTGCGCAGAAATCGATGCAGCAATTCCCAAAGCATGCGCCCGACTCGCCGCGCGGCGCCGCGCGGCGAGTTTGCCGCGAGCACTCGGCGTCGCGGTCGTAGGGCTGCGGGCGGATGGGCCTCCGTAATTCCGCGGAATAAATCACCGGGCGAGCCGCGGAGTGCGACGACTTCCGGGGACCGTCCAAGGGATGACCCCGTAGAAGATTTCCGGACCCCACCTCCGCCACGATGGATGAGAATTTAAGCAGGGGCTACGTCCAGCTGGGCAAGGCGAGGCGCAAGATGGAATTCAACTTCCTCAATGGACGCACTCACCTGACGCCCCCGGTCGACAAGTACAACTTCATCTACTTGTCGCTCATCCTGGCCGGTGTCGGATTCCTCCTGCCGTATAACAGGTCCTGTCGCTCTACGTGTCCTGGATTAATGGATCGAAATAGAAATTAATGGTCAGGGGATGACGAATCGATTAATCCAGGGTACGGCGTCATCGCCGATAAGATTTCGTCACGGAAATTAGTGGATTCCAGGCTAGCAGAAAATGTCTTATATTTTCTATATATTTAACGAATATCGTACGTTTTGTTAATATTTAGCAGACTTTTGAAGTATTTCCTAAACGTTTACTTTAGGATAGTATTTTTATATTCGTATAATATCAGCTCCACGTGATTTCGTAATATTTTTCTTGGGGATATACGGGACATTTCGTTTAATTTTAAAATATGTATTTTTGTTAATGTCGTCTGCCGAATAGGTTTTGAACGTATTAAAAATATTTAAAATCAAAGTCACGCGTTTTTCAATGATAACGAAGTAGTGGAACGATAATATTGGAAAAATTTCTCGTGTTCTTTGGATATCTTCAGGGGAAATCTACGAAACGTCTTAATGAATCTGGCGCTTGAATAATTTTGTAGCGGAAATTGCGAGAAAATATTTAGAAATTATTCTGTGCTCCTGGGGTTTAGTTCGCCCTTCTTGCCGAATGACTTAACCCTTTCGTTTCCGTAGTTTTGTGATCGCAGTCGATTACTTCCAAGCGAGGTACCCCGGCACCACGGTCGTCTTCGACATGTCCGTCGTGTACATCACCATGGCCTTCTTCGCGGTGATCGCCAACAACGTCCTGGTGGAGACCCTGTCCTTGAACACGAGGATAACCTTCGGTAAATCGCAAGGCTTTGAAATTCGGATCGACCGAAAGGGTTCGCTGGATTAATGGAAACTTTTCAGGATACGTGGTCTCCATAATCGTGCTCAACTTCGTGGTCGTCTGTGAGATCTGGTGGGAGCTCTTCGACGTCGCGACCTCGTACACCATCAACCTCATCGCCGTGGCGATCGTGTCCTTGGGATGCACTGGTGAGCAAGGGCGGTAAAATAGGGAACGAGGGGTTTCCTGGACTAATACTTGTCCCTTTTCAGTCCAGCAGTCGAGCTTCTATGGATACACTTCCATGCTTCCAAGTCGTTACACGCAAGCGGTCATGGCCGGAGAGAGTGAGCATTATTCGGATTATAGTCCCCCTTGACGTAAATTGGATCAGAAATTGTCGAACGGAACTCATTCAGGTGCTGCCGGATTCTGGATCTCCGTGAACCGGATATTGACGAAGGCGGTCGTCGACGACGAGCGCGGCAACACGTCGGTGTTCTTCGGCCTGTCCACCATGACGATCATCATGTGCTTCGTGCTCAATCATTTGGTGAGGAAGTCCGATTTCGTGCAATTCTACATAACTTATTGCCAAGAGCGGAGGAAAATCACTTTGGAGCCGGCGGAAGATCTGGGTCTGGTATGGTTGAACATTTCCTGGGTGAACCAATGAAAGTTACTTTGAGCGTATCGTATTTTTCATCTTTTTTACTAAATAATTCCTGCGCGTAAAGATGGATCCCATGGACCAGGTCGGAGACCCCTCGAAGGGCCAGTATGGGGTGCTGAAAATTCAAACCAGCCCTTTGGGCAATTATTCCGCCGGAGGTAGTGCCGACACGAGGAATGGTAATAGTCAGAAATCGATGAATTCTTTTCCCTCCTGAAACTTTTCGAGTAACGTTCATCGTGGTCCTTCTTCAGGTACGAGTCAGTATACGGCTTTCTCCTTCAGCAACCCCGTTTACGAGCCGAACGCTCCTTCCGGTAACCCTCCAGGAAGTGCAGGTCCTACCTACAAGGTGGAGGACGTCGTGGTGATGCACGGATCCTATGGAACTCAGACCTCGAAGCCCTGGTCGGGTATCAAAAGTGAGTATCACGGGTTATCTCTATAAAGGCCATTAATTATCCTTCAAACGATCGTCTCGTCATTCAGAGGGTCTCCTGGCGAGGCTCGAAGTGGCCAAGCTCATCTTCTCCTACATGGCGAACATCGGAACGGCGTACTTCGTAACTCTCTGCCTCTACCCGGGCATCGTCTCCGAGATAATCTCCTGCAAATTCGAGTCCTGGATGCCGGTGATCCTGATGGCAGCTTTTAACGCGTCGGACTTGCTGGGAAAGGTAAAACCGATTTTTAACATCTAATCCCATCACCACGAGAAACATTTCCAATCTCTTCAGGTGCTCGCATCGATACCCTACGAGTGGACGAGGACGCAGCTGTCGTATTTCTCCGGAGCCAGGATACTTTTGATACCGCTCTTTCTGCTCTGCGCCATTCCCAGGCAAGCTCCGATCTTGTCCGGAGAAGGTTACCCATTGTTCTTCTCGTTGTTGTTGGGTCTTACGAACGGAATCGTCGGAAGCGTCCCGATGATCCAGGCACCCAGCAAGGTGCCGGAAGAGCACCGCGAGCTCGCTGGTAGGTTTCTGGTCTCTGTTGGCATTTTTTATAAACATTTATATACACATTATTCGTTGTTCCATCGCAGGAAATATAATGACCCTGTCCTACACCACCGGATTGACGCTGGGGTCCTTGATGGCGTACATTTTGGACGCCTGCCTGGGCCCTCCAGTGCAGACCAAAGTGATCTGCCCCAAACCTCGTCCCATGGTCAATGTCCCCATAAACGCAACCGTGAATATCCTGGCCAACGTTGTCACGACCACCATGCCGAGTATAGAGAGGGTCACGAAAATGTCCAAGGTGAAGACGACGACCGCAGCCCTGACCACCTTGCTGACCACCTCTTTCATGTCCAACGGCACCATCGGTCTACTAAACGCCAGCAATGTCGTCAACGCGACTGCTATCGCGTTTCCAAAAGTGATCGGCGACGTCACCACGACGATTGGCAACGCTATCTTGCAACATTAGACGCCTCGGCGAATTTTTTGTCCGGTCGTATGTTGAAGTATCGCGCTCCATGCGCGTTCTAAGCGTTGTAACACTTGCGTGAAAAACACACGAGTGGTTCGCGAGTATTTTTCTTCGGGAGAAAAGGGTTGCATCGCGAAACAGTCGACGTTCCTTTCACTCGTCATCTGTATTATTGCCGAGGGTGGCGGAATTTAAAAGCATTAATAAATGTTTAAGTAACGAAGCCCGAGCCGCGCCTCGACCCCGAGATTCATATTATTTTGTTTTTCTCCAAAAATTACTAAACGATCTTTTGTATTTTCGTATGCGGGAGATCGAGTCGTTTTTCCGATGACAAGAAGGAAACGATCTAGTTCTTGCGAGGTCAGAGTTTTGCCGGGCGTATTAAACATTTGTTATTTCGCCGAGGCGAAACACCGGACGACGAGTGTACATTGAATGGAAATTAAAGGGGACTGTATTTTTTGAGAATCTCGAAAGCGACGGAGATCTCGAATTAGGCCGAAGTTTTGGAACTGTTAGTTGAAGCGAACTTCTCGAGGCTATGTAGAAGTTTCGCTAGTTTTCAACGAAACTTCTGCAGGCAGCCTCGACGAGCGCCTGTTAGACTGATGTTTGAGCATTATAAGATGTTTGGGATGAGAATTTTATTAATCCTGTATCCTACGTATTACGCTGTTGTGGTCCTTGCGTGATTAGCGTGTCTTTGTGGCGTTGATGTATAACCGAGTGTTTCTTTGTCGCGAAACCTCTACGGAACACTGCAGAGTCGTGTTATTAGGTACTAATATTGGGAGCCGAGTGGACGTCGCCCTCGCTCTTACGAAAGGCTCGCCGAAGCCCCGCTTTTTATCGGACACCTGCTCACCGACATATCTACGAAACTTTAGAGGAACATAATCAAACTTTTGGAAGGAAGCGCAGGCGCATACTTTTTATCTATTTCGAATCCTACGCTGGCAGAAACGTATCTCCTTGAAAGCGAGCCGGAAGATGGGATTACGGATCGAAGACCCCTTAGAGAATTATTGCGTTGCACGGTCCTTGAACTTCCTCAAACATTTATTGTTTAACGTTATTTGTTACCGATTTTCGAGTTCCTTTGCGTGAACGGGGACGAGTAGCTACCATGACTCTTCCGGCAGTGAAATAAAATCCGGAGTGACCAAATGGTTTGTCTTTCTTTCGATCGCCTTCGGGCAAGATAGAGTCAGAGTTCACGCATTCACGTTTTTTAGATAGACTTTCCGTGGACCACGGAACTCGCGAGCGACGTCAGGTCCCGTGGCAACTATTAACGATACTTAAAATGTGTAGCTAGCAAACTTTCGAGCTAAATGAACTTACGTAAATGACAAATAAATACCCGTTAAGTATAGGCACTAAGGGGTGTCGGTGTCAAACGCGATCGCGAAGATCGCCCTTGGAGTTGGAGATCCGATTAAAGAAGGGATGGCGAATGGTTCCGTTCTACATTATATTTTTCATTGTAACGTCTTACTTCTGAACATTGTATCAAATGCGATATGAAATGGTATCCGAGCCTTTCGAGGTAAAGAGAAAAATAATACTCTCTTATCTGGTCCTCGTCGAAACCAAATCTAACGGCTGAAACGGACTCAACAGAGTCCGAACATTGTTGCTCCCAGCTCTTCCGTTTCCTCGAAAACCATTTCGTACCGTTCTATTCCATATGTACAAATAATAAATATACAATATCTTATGTAACTACCACAACGTCGCTGGCCTTTCACGTTTATAAGAGCTGCTCGCACTTCGTCCATAATTCCGAAAGCAATCGCCTTGCGATTTACTTTACAACCCGAGGAAGTGTACGTTCATCTTTTCCCTAGATCTCGTTACAACGTCCGCTTCCTTAAGGAGCATTTAATGGTCTTTCCTGATTAACGCCAAAAATGAACCCCTTTCGCTCCATCTTTGACACATATATCGAGTTAAGTGCTACGTTTGATTATACTCTCGTAAAATACTGTTACGCGTCTATCTTCTATATGATAAACCTAATAGCTGTAAAACTGCCTCCGTCCAAGGTAGCTTCTCGTTTTCTTAGACCTCCTCTCTCTCAACGGGAATGCGAGTTTCCTTTCGGGTTTCTTTGAAAAAATATGGAACGATCAGGATCATCCTATCACAGTTGGATTCGTCGCCGACGTCTCGGCGACTGCCATTCGATGCAGAAGTGACGTCGCGATTCTTCGAGGGTCATTTCAGATATTTCGCTGCCCAATCCGTTCTGCCGTTTATTCCCGCGCTGGGTCGGGCATTCAGGACACCACCGAATAGATTTGTCTGTAGAGTCCCCTTTGGCGTAGGTTCTGTCGACACAGCAACATTGTAACATAATAAAAATGGTACCACTTATTGCGGCCTTGATTTTTTCTCGATTCGACGCTGTTTTTTTTTACCGTGTTAAAAAATTATCCAATAATCGAGAGATATAAAAAATCGAAGCTAAATTAGTCGCACGAAAATCTGGGTGGTCAGGAAACTCGATTGACGTCTCTTCATGTCCGGATTGAGACACTTACTGATAATTTGCGTACCGTAGACGCTAGGATATGGCAACTTGGAATTTGACATCTGCTCCGAAATGTATCGATTTCTAGCTAGGAAGTGTTGTCTCGTTTGGTTTTCGGCGGTTTCCCACGGGTCTCGATACGAATCCACGAACTCCTCGTTTCTCTCCGATGCGGAAGGGACGGTCCCGTTTTGCTGAATCCTCGGCCGAGTTGGTTCCCCTTCACCGTTTCTGAAAAAGCCAAACAAAAATCCCTTAAGTCGAGACGAAAGGAGAGGCGAGGCTTTTCTGATTGGGCAGGACTTTATTGCTGTTTGGTACATCGAGGTATATAATTTTGTGGAAGGTGCGGAGAGGATATCTCAGGACTTTAATTGTCATCTTTTTTAAGTTTAAGCCAATAAATGATACAAAACATAAAGAGACAGTAAACAAATCGAAACGCAGCGACTAATTGTGAATCTACAATTCTTTAGAGAGCTGCTTAGAGTCACGTTCAAGAGACGCGCAAATTTTCTACCGGAACGAAGAACGACTGTAATCAGATGATAAGTGCAGATTGCAGCAGAAATGAATTTCACCGGATTTTGGCACATAATCGTTCCTACGTTTGATATCTCCATGTAAATACTGTCGCACCATTCCCAGAACGTGTACAACCCGAAATCATCAATGCACTTTTTGAAAAAAATCAGCGACTCCGTAACACGCTCTATCCCATTTTTGGTTCGAATGGCTAGACCGTCCATTATCGAAAGCTCATTATCGGATATCAATTTCATATCGTTTACAAGAACCTCAGGGAAGACGCCATGAAATACATATTTCGCAAGAGAAATAATTTTCCACTGTACCGAATGATAAAAAATCGAAAATTGGAGCCAGAGAAACGAGAAAACCGGCCGTACTGCCTGCGTCCCGTTTTGCACGACTTGCACCACAATCGAAGTGGTATTTCCAAGATAGACAGGTACAGTATGACCAATTAAAATTAAAATCTCGTACCCCGGTACTCGTAGGAAGATTTTACATAAATAAAAACCAAATTGGACCAAGGGGCGTACGACTTTCGAGACAAAGACGGCGAAATAAAGTGGTAGCATCTTTGAATAAATATTGCACCGAAGAATTATCTTGCCCAGGAGCCTTTCGCAAAAAACTGACATTTGAGATTGACCGACAAGCCAAACGATGTGCTCGATAGTGCGGTCGACCACGTGGGCGAGGAATACGTGGAGTTCTTTCCTCCCGAGGGAGAAGCAAGCCGTCAGATATCCCACCGCCAGGAGCAAATATGCACCGAGGACAATCCCTGCGAAATTTCGGAATTTTCGGTACCTTGACGGCAAACTCGAGTCCTTCTCCGCCACGTAGCGAGGAACACCAAGGTAATGTTGCTTCACCGAAGCCTTTCTGGCGTTCTTCAGGTGCGTCTGCGACTGGTTCCAGCTTTTTCCGGAACCTGGCTCGTTCCAAGCCGGCTGAATCCAATTGCCGTTGGTTTGAGTATGCATCTCAGCACTGGGATAATTCCCGTTCCAGTTGGGACGGTTCTCCTTGTAGACGCGATCAGGCAGCAACTTCGTACCCGAATTGTCTGGGATAATCTTGCTCCTGGTTGGGCGTACGAAACATGAAGAACGTCGCGAGAGGTGAGACGAGACTACGCAAGGCTGCGGTAGAACCGCTAGATTTGAGCCGCACTATTCGTTATTCGATTTGCAGCGATAAGAAGAAGCTCGCTCGTAGGTCGGAACGTACCCCAGGAGGTCGGCGAAATCGTCGTCGTCCCATTTCGAGGATTTTTGCTCGCGCTTTCGACTATTGTGATTGAGCAACGGCAGCACCGGTTGCTGCTGGGCTTGCATGGACCCCTTCTCCTGGGACCTGAAGAAAAAATCGGTTGCGAGACTCTATTCCGAGACGTCCACAAACTTATACTCTATCATAGATATCATCCGAGTACCTAGACTGGACCACACTGCCAAGGACGTCCTGCTGGCCGAATTTGTTCGAAAGAGGAAGCGGAGGAATGTTCACCTTGTTCATCACGTACTCGCGTTGCGAGCCCACGCCGATTTGCTTGCTGCTAACCACGCGAGGTACACTTGCTTCGAAATAAGGATACCTGTAACGTTGAAATAATCTTTTTTTTTTAGTAGATCCCATTAGGAGGGAGATTCAATTTTCTGGAATGAGATGGAAGATACCTAAGAGACTGCTGAGCGGTGGGTCTCTTTATGGGGTTCCACTGCAACATGTCCTCCATAAGGATGACGGCCTCCTGGCTGGCATTTGGTATCAGGACACTCAAGGACGTTCTACTAAAATTCGGAAACTTGAAGTTCATCGCTGTCGCGAGGTGATAGCCTTCGGGCCAGTCCTCCTTCGTCGGGGTACCGATCACCGAGCAGATCTTGAAGATCTCGTCGATCTCCCCCTTTCCGGGGAACAATGGGGTGAAGGTGTACAGTTCCGCCATTATGCAGCCGACCGCCCAAATGTCGATCGGGCTGTTGTAGGTCGTGGAATGTAGAAGGACCTCCGGTGCCCTGTACCTGTGAATTTAAATGAATGATAAAAAGAGGACGTTGAAGGGAGTCGGAGGGCGCGACTTCTCGGGGATTTTAGGGAGTTACCATCTGGTGGATACGTAATCGGTGTAAGGAGGCCTGGATCGAATTTCTCGAGCCAAGCCGAAGTCAGCGATTTTAACCAATTCAGGCCCCATGCACAGTAGATTTTCAGGCTTCATATCGCGGTGGAAGAAGCCGTGCTTGTGCATGAAGGCCAGGCCTTGAAGCACTTGGTACACTATGTTCCTAATCACGGGCTCTGGGAAAAGCTTGTCCCTGAAAACGATACTGTCCTTTACGACTGCCCGAAGAGATCCAAAGGTCCTGTAGTAAAGTTCACCTATTCTTCATCAATTGATAAAGGTTCTCCCTCATGTACTCGAAGACGAAGTATAGGACGTCGTTCTCCCGGATGACTTCCTTCAGTTTGACGACATTCGCGTGGCTGAGCTTCTTCAAGGACTGAATGAAAGGGAACAAACGAATGGTCAATCGGAAGTCGATCGATAGTCGTGAATGCCAAGCGTGTCAAATGCGAGGCGAGACTTCGACCGACCTTAACTTCCCGAAGGTTCATAGCCTCCTCCCAGGAATAGTACTTTCTCTTCATCCTTTTAATGGCCACCTTTTCCCCGGTGTCGATTCGCTCGCCTAGAACGACCGAGCCGAAGGTGCCATCGCCGAGCTGATTCAACGTGATGTACCGATTCATCTTCATTTGTGCTCGATCGATCCGATCGATCGGTTGGAAACCTTCACCAAGAGCGAATCCTTCATCTAGGATTTCGGAGCAGGATCCGATTCTCTCTCGCCTGCCGTCCGATTACTTAGCATATTTCTCGTTTCCCTGAAAAGATAGAAAAAGTGAAATAATAAACGTACGATATAACATTACTTTTCCTAAGGCTCTAAAGCGTCGGTCGATTTATTACTAACGAGTACCACCCGTTAGTAGTTTGTCAAAACCCTCGACTGTCAGCACGGTGAATTATTGACCGCGAACTCGATACCTGTTCTCGATAAAAAATTCAAGGAACCTATAGGCGACATGCCTCGAGATTTCTGAGTTATCAAACTGGATCGACCTAATTTGCGAGAAAATGTCGGCCAAGTGCGATCCACGATAATCGGTTCTGTAAGACGTGGAACGTCGAGGTAATCGCGAGAAGCGCATGCAAATCGAAAGGTCGAAGAGTACGGCACGGTTTAACACTATTTTAACGAGGTCAGGGAGAGGCCGAGTGGTGTAAACGGCTTTACCGCTAATCGGCGTAATCCTTCGTGAATCTTGTAAAAGAAGGGTCGGAAGAGTCGCAGAAAAAGGGACAGAAGTCAGGCCGACATCGGTGGAGATCGAAGGCGAATTAATTCGTATCGATTCAACTACTCCCATGGAGACAATACCAAGGCATTCGAAAGAGAGAGGCGTGGTGCGGTAATTCCTGTAATTTTCTGTAAAAGTTAAATTCTGAAGGCCCTCAATTCCAGCGAAACGACACGCGATGCGGAATTTACCGAACTGAGCGAACTTGCGTTGCGACGTTTGGTAACTAAAAGCCGATGTCGTTAAACTCGGTATGGACTCGTAACGACTTTCTACAATTCTCCTGTGTACATACGTAAACGAGCACTCGTTTTAACGGTATAATGACTAATATGTAAAGTCGATGGCAGGGCGCATAAATGTTTTTTACGGTCTGCTTCTTTCACATTTATTGGCATCCGTATAAAAATGTACCAAGGTAATCCTTGGAATTACTGCTTTAAATTGTACCGAGATAATCCTTAGAATTACTGCACTCCCATGAACAAGTAACAGTCGCACCTGGACGAAAGAGTAAACGTAAATACCATTTGACATAAAAGTATCCGTCAGAAATGCGATTCGATTTCTCCGCAGGAATATCGAACGAGGCGAAACACAACGAAGAGTGTCGAGTCGATGTCGAGATTAGCATTTTCTTAGATTTGCATGCCGGTAATCTTGCTGGGCTTATCGACCGCGGGAGACATGCAACCGTATGGATTTCTCTTGAGAAGTCTACCCGTGACTCACGGGAAAATCTTCCACCCTTCGGCGAGTTCTTTTGGAATATCGGTTTCTCCCAGAAATCGCGAATAAAACGTGCCCCTATGAGAACGTAGCAAAATACTCATTTTCAAGGTCGTTCGATCCATCGATCGACGCTTGACGGGTGGAGGCACGATATTCGTGTCACGACTGGGCCCTTTGGTGGTTTAAAAAAAATACCGCGGCTTCCGGCAAGCCGCCTTAACGGCGGCAATTTAAAGCGCTTTACCGGCATACGCACGCCATGCAAAGGAAGGATTATTTTCCGCTTGTTTGGGAAAAATTAGGCCGGCTACTTACGGCGAAAACCAAGAAGAGATTCCCCGGGTTTGACGCCGTTCTCCACCTCCACGCTGCGCAGCTGTCACTGACAAAACGCCGACCGAGCGGCCATACTTATTCGTCGCCATGGTTACGATTTGGTACACTTACCACCCTTTATGCTTTACATTTGCGATATTTATATTACCGCATTATGTCTGCAGGTACATACATGCGTAAAGAAGTTCCCCTTGTCTCGCATTCTAGAATACTGGATTTAAGTCTACGGTTATTCTCGAAAGAAGGCTTACCATGTCTCACCGAATCGAATTTTTAAGCAGATTTTGACGCAGCGAGTATTGATGTGGCGTTATTTTGGAGGATGTTATAAATTACTGTAAATGGAGGACCGTGGTTTCTCTCTAGTTAGGAAGGACACGTGGAATCGTAGAGAAGCGTAGAATTGGGTAGAAGAGCGGCGGTGGCGGGACGTTAGATTCAAAATGGCGACCTATGACGGCCTAGGAGGACGCACGAGGTGGATGTGCGTCGTTTTACGCGAGGTTCAATAGACTGGAAGCATCTTGTCATTTTCATTGGAAAATGTCGCAAGAAACGAAGAAAGGGAAGAGAAAAGATGCCACTAAGAAGGAGAGTCCGCCCAGTGAGCCGAGTGAGCCGAGTAAAAAGGAAAAAATCCCGGAGAATGATGACGCTGAAGAAACCAAACCGTAAGTGGACAGCTGTCAAAATATTTACTTCTAGGCTTTAGCTTTAAGTGCGTTTATGGGTTTTCTTTTCGCAGTCTGATCCATTTTTCCCACATTTTTTTAATCTTAATCAATAGCTGCGAAATTGTTTCAGAGAAATCTCTCTTATGAAGGTTAGACGTGTTCATTTGCATTAACGAATGCGTTGTTGACTTATAATGATGGAATTGTTGACAGAACTAATATTGTTGCAGTAAATATGGACCATCGGTGACGTTTCCTTACCAGAGGGTGTGGTGCCGATGTATACTACTTCTAGGTGTACTATTTGTCGTTTGGTACAATAGCAAAAATGGCAAAGAGGTATCATTGGCTCGACAAAAGGATATATTATTAAGTCGCAGTCAGAACGTGCAGTGTTCGGACGACTTCAAAGCAGAATTAGAAAAGTTCCAAGGTTGTACACCCGAGAAATGTAAAAGGGTGGTATCGGATAAGTTAGTCTCGGCAGCGGAATCCGACGTCTTGTTGAAAATTGCAATAAATGGAATGAGTTTAGGAGGGTCCGACGGAGGTGCAAGTATACTCGATCTTCATTCCGGAGCATTGAGCAAAGGCACCGGATTTATCAATGTGTATACCTTAGATGCGGCAAAAAAGATTTTCAAGAGTGCAGATTTTGCTATTTATAAGTAAGGAAATTTTGAGAGGCATGCCGGTAACGTACCTTTTCGTTTGAAATGTTGAACTTTGAGCTGTCATGGTAACTCGAGTACTATTGTCGTTCCATTTGCAGAGTGGTCAAGACGAAGATTCATCACGCCATAGCTCATAATTTTGGAGTAGATGCGGATAAAGTTTATTTGACACATCCAACATTTTTTTCACGGATGACAAGTGCTCCGGCCAAAACGATTCACGATGAATATTGGCATCCTCACGTAGACAAGGTACGTGCTTTGCTATGGCTGCAACAGTTTTGTAAAAACTGGCAAGAATTACTGCCAATGACCTACGTTCTTTACAGGAAACATATAAATCATTCCACTACACATCTATACTGTATTTAAGTGATTACGATAGAGACTTCGAAGGTGGCAGATTTATTTTTGTTGATCAAAATAATGTAAACACAACCATGCAGCCAAGAAAAGGTAAGACATATATTTCGAATAATACTTAGGAATCATAAATGAAACACGCTTGATTTTTTAGGCCGAGTGTTAATGTTCACATCGGGAAGTGAAAATCTGCATGCAGTCGAGAAGGTGACATCGGGCACAAGATATGCTCTTACGATATCATTTACTTGCGACCCTCAATATGTCATCACGGACCCCAGTCTAAAAAATATTCAACAAAACAATCATTAACTGCAGCGACCTCACTAAAAACATTACAATCGTTAAGTAATACTCTAATAATTGATGAATATTTCGACATTCCCATTGAAAGCCAAACTACGCATTAGATTAAATAACCAGAGAGCTATTTGTATTAATTACGTTAAGTTAGTCAAAGTTGGTCAATACGAACAGTTTTCGAGAAAATGCAATAAACGTGGTATTAGAGGCAACAGGATAGGTAATGCGCTCTCCAGCAAGAATCCATAAAATCAGTTCTTCCGTTTCGTCTGTATTCGATCATTTATTGAATTATGTGTTACACATTCGGAGCAGCAAAGATGTGTGGCGTTGTGCACATAAACGAGCGTGTAACTATAAATTAACGTACATAAAGGTGCGCTCCAGCGACCTGTAACGCGCTCCCGAATTGCATATACGCTCAGCGACAGACATTCGCGAAAGTCTTATAATGGTGATGTTAAATATACATTATTTACTACGTGCATTGCGTACATACACACATACGCGTGTGTCTTTCCCCCGCTCTTTGTCTATCTCTCGCCGAAATCTTGCGCGTTCGTTCGTTCGTTTCACAACGGCAAACGGACAAAACGAGAAATCGAAGGTATCTAAAAAAAAAAAAAAAACAGAACGACATCTTTAAGCGTATACTTTACAAGCTGCGCATCCGTGCGTTACGTATCCGCCATTCGCATTGAGAAATAGATTCTCAAATAATTCCCTTTAACGATCCACTACGAGAGATTACTACGAGAATCGCCGTAAAAGCGTCCCGGGATATTCCTCCCGAGGGCCGCCGACGGTTCCACCGACTTCCGCTATTAAAATCGTCATGGATCATCGAAGTCGAAGGCAAACCGTTTATGCCGTCCGTTAAATCACACACGAGCGACTTTATGACATTACGCTAGTAAAATAAATACGTGTCCTGGCGGGACTTGATAACGGTCTGTCCACTGACCGCCTCCAAGTCCCGCGGGAACTTCCGATGGGCTTTTGCGTAAACTTAACGCCGCGAATACACGCGCAAGATTTGCTCTTTAATGACCGCTTTGACCAGAATTCGGGAAGCTGTAACCCCTTGCGCGATGGAACTACTCCGTGGGAAGCGTCGTTCTCCGAATCCAGCCGAACTTAACTATTTACCGAGACTTTTTACGGAAGCTCCACCCACCTAGGAGAACGCGGATCCGGATTTAACGGAATATCGCGTCATTCTGAGCGGCCCCCAGCGAATCGTTCACACCGACCAGCCCTTTCGCCTTGCATTAAATTACTAACAGCCTTACAAACGAAAATTAACCCGAGTCCGGCTTCGACGGCATGGGTCCTCTCCGGTGCATCGACTCACCGTACAACGGTGATATCTTAATTTATTTAGTCTCGGAAGATCGTGCCGACGAAGCCACGTCGAGCGTTCGACACGCGCGAGGAATGAAGAGTGACGCGTAAGGGGAGTCCTAGAAGAGAAGAGAGATTTGTACAAAAGGAAACACTCGCGTGTTAGAGAGGCTAATACTAGTGCCGACCGTTAACCGTTAATCTTTAACGAGCCTCCTAGTGGGTGAGGTGTACGAGATTAAAAAATACGAGGAACCCCATGCGCCTTCGAAACGTCCTGGAATCGCGAAAATCCATCTAACGCCAGCCATGACACTTATCGGATTCTCGCAAGATTCTATGCCCTAAGGAAATCTGCAATTTTCTTCACGCTACTCCCCGACAAGATGGTCCTGTGGTTGCCAGCCAACTCCTCCACGTGAATCTTCTGGCAGCAGATCTGCAAGGGAATCGATTAACGACCACGAATAACCGACTCTCGCACATCTCCCGCAGAGGTTCATCTCGTTACCCCTACCTCTGATAGGCCGTAGTCTTCGTTAACCGAGACGAAGTTGTCCTTCGCTTTGAACAGCGTGATGGATCCTTGGAACTTGCTAGTTGGCTTGTACATGTTAGCTGCCTGCAGCTTCTTGAAGAACAAGAAACCAGCTGCTTTAACGTCCTCGGAATCGTAGGGTACGCTGCCGATGATTTCCACCATCTTGTTGAGCGTCTCCTCCTGCGAGTCCGCGGATGTCAGCGCTGCGTATGCCTGGGGAAAAATCCGAAAATCATGATACGAGGTTCTGCGTACCTTACCGAGTCCTTTCTAGATCCCGAGATCCTAAAAATAATTCAACGGCAATACCTTGAGGTAGGTAACGTCGGAGGAGAGTTGCCGGGCGAAGAAGGCCAACGCCTTGCGGTACCCATCGGAGATGGCGTCCGCGGATTCCGTCTGGTTGACTTTCCTCCCGATGGATTGGCTGTGAGAGGTGATGTACTCCGGAGAACCATCCAGGAGAGTCATGTGGACCTTCTCGCCGGAAGCCTCGAGCTGAAGAGCCATCTCAAAGGCCACACAGGCCCCGAAGGAGTACCCCACCAGCGTGTAGGGTCCCTTGGGCTGCACCGTCTTCATCTGTTTAACGTAGAAATTGGAAAGCTCGGAGATGGACTCCAACGGAGCATCCTTGACGCACTGGAGGCCCCAGACAGGTCGATCGAGCTCGACGGCCAACGTCTTCAGCGATCCAACCACCCCTTCGATGGCGGTGATGACGAAGACCGGAGGGCCCGTTTTTCCCTGTGTTTGCAGCTGGACCAGCGACTGTTTGGGCACGATCTCGTTCCCAGAGCACTGGAAGAGCAGCTGGTCCGGTGCGTTTTCCGCAGCCGGAGAAGCCACGGGCGTCGTCGCCGGTTCCGACGTTTCTCCGGACCCTGCGGAGAACTCCAGGAGCTTACCGAAGGTCAGGCTTCGAATCTCCTGAGCCGACAGAACGAGGTCGTAGTTCCTCTCGAGGGTCTGCTTGATCTCGGTGCCCATCAGCGAGTCCATCCCCAAGTCCGCCAGGGTGTTGCTCGCGTTAACGCTCTTGGCATCCTTGATACCGAGGATGTTTGCCACGGCGTCGATCAGACCTACTTGATTCAACGCATCGCCCGATTTCTGTTTGTCGGCCAAGACCATCGACGCCAAAACTGGATGAGGTTGTTGAAGGAACGTGTCCACCGTCGCGAGACAACTCGCCATCCGCTGCGGGAGGGTACCACCCACCTCGGTATCGTTGTCACCCATGGTCTCTGTAAGATCAACGATAAATTAATAAAATTATCATGTTTAAAATACAGAAAGTAACGGAAGAATGGTCGCTACACCCACCTAAGATGAGACCAACGTCTCCAATGGCGCCCCATTGAATCGCCAAGCCGGGCAGTCCGTTGGCTTGCCTCTGTTCGACGATTCTCTCCATGGCGGAGTTTGCGAGTCCGTAATTCGTCTGGCCAATGTTTCCTCTGCCGCAAGAGACCGAGGAGAAGACGACGAAGTAATCCAGAGCGGGGCAGAGCTTCCTCGAGGCCACGTCCAGGTTCTTGGTCCCGTCGATTTTGGGCAGCGCCACGGCCTTGAAGTGAGCCTCCTCGAGGTCGCTGATGAGAGCATCGCGTAATACCGCGGCGAGGTTGAAGATTCCTCCAAGTGGCGCGATCTTGTTGCACTCCTGGATGAGTTTCTCGGCACCGGCAGGCGTCGTGACGTCCTCCGTGGATATGGCGACGTTTACCCCAAGTTCTCGCCATCTCCTCACGCACAGGGACTGATATCCCGTTCGGATGCCAGACCTAGAGGTCAGGATGAGGTATTTCGCCCCGCGGGTGACCATCCAGTTGGCAAGCTCCAGACCGAACCCGCCAAGGCCACCGACCAGGACGTAGGACTTGTCCGGGTTCATGTAAGTGCGCGGAATCGCCGCAACGGTCTTCGGAGTCGGTTGCACGACCTTCTTCGCTTCCTCCTCTCGGATCTTCAGGACGACCTTTCCGATGTGCCTCCCCGTGGCCATGTATCTGAATCCCTGCTCGATCTGGTGCTCCGTGAAGACCGTAGCTGGAAGAGGTCGGACCGCTCCGCTCTTGATTCCCTCTTCGACCAGCTGGAACACTTCCCTTTTCTCGGGACTATCCGCCTCGAAGAGGGCGTCCAGAAGGATCCCGTGGAAGCTGGTGTTCTTCAGGAAGAAGGCCATTCCCAAGGCCGTGTTGTTCGACAGATCGAACTTGCCGATTTCTAGGAAACGACCGTCCTTGGCCAGACACCTTATGCTGGCTTGCAGCTTCTCCTCGGCCAGGGAGTTCAGCACCAGGTCGACACCTCGTCCACGAGTCTCCGTTAGGACCAGCTGCTCGAAGCTGGTGTCGCGAGAGTTGCCGATGTTCCTGTCGGTCAGTTGCGGGAAGGTCTTCTTCAGGAAATCGCGTTTCTCCTTCGAGCTCACCGTCGTGAAGACCTTGCAGCCAAGACTGAGAGCGATGGCTATGCTGGCTTGACCTACACCTCCGGTTCCGGCGTGCACCAGGATGCTTTCCCCAGGATGTATGCGACCTCGTACGCACAGGGCGTAGTAACTGGTGGCATAAACTACGGGGATGGTCGCTGCTTCCTCCAAGCTCCACTTGTCGGGAACTTCCCAAGTGAAACCAGGGTCGCAAAGAACCGTGGTGGCAAGTCCGCGAGCGGGCAAAATTCCCATGACGCGTTTTCCTTTGGTATCGCGACCTGCGAACTCCAGCCCCAAAATGCAATCCTGACCAGCCAAATCTCCTGGAAGTGCATCTGGAGGCAGCTTCCCGGTAGCCAGCATGATGTCTCTAAACATAAGCAGCACGGTTTCCTAAATTATCATCAATAAGATGCTTACGAGATGGAGAAATCGGTCTTCCGATCGACTCTTCCGCAAATTTACCTGAAGTTCAATGGCGTATAGTAGACACTGCAGAGCTCGGTTCCGGGGAATTTTTCTGGCTGATAGTAACTCAGAGGACCCTCGATCCATCTTAGGCTACTGAGATCACCTCTAACCAGAGCGTTGATATAAGCGTGCTCAACCTGAAGAGACGACGCATCGCCTTGCTGGTCCAGACGCAAGTGGCGGTAGCTTCCCCACTGTCCGCCTTTCAGAACATTGGCGATAAGCTGCTTGTCCAATTGTTCCGCGTAGAAGCGCGTCTTCACCGAGAATTTCGGGGCATTCTTGTCTTGGATGAAGACGTAGCGAGCGTTTGACCCGCCAGCCTCCTGCCGGACGCATGTCATGAGACCAACCAGACCTGAAGAGAAGAAATAGTTGCCGTTATATATAGTCGAAGCCCTTTTTTAGGTCGCTTCGTTGTCTACGATACCTACCGAGAATCTCTTCTCCCTGGCTGACCAAGAGGATCTCTTGCCCATCGGCCTCGGACTTCTTCAAGGCAGCCTTCAGGCCCTCAAGCCACGAAAAGTTCTTCTCGGTGATCTGAATGATGATCGGCTCGGTCCTCTCCTCTAATTTTTTAAGTAAAACGTAAGTCTTGCCAAGCGCCGCCTGCTTCCCCACGAAAGTGAGTCCCGTTTCTCTTAGCGATTTCTGCTGACGATCGGAGTAGCAGGTCTCTTCAAGGACCAGGAATCCGCCATTCTTCACAGAGGCGGCCAGATTTTTTAGGACCTCCGCCGACTCGTTCATCAACACGTCCGCTGCCAACGCAAGGTGCAACTCCTGTCCAACTGGTGCCGTGCGTACATTTCGCGCCACAGCTTTCACACCCAACTGGTCGCAAGCCGAGGCGTAGTTCTCGGGAGAAATCGCAGCAATTTGCAGGTCAACCTAGAATAAGAACACCGAAAAGAAGTTTAAGTTGCCGAAGACCCGATAACTCTGCACTGGACTGCTGTAAATTAAGGGGTTATATGCAATTGCATTGGCGAAATTCAAGAATTTTTTTTTCATAACTAAAATGCATTATTTAATAAAAAACAGAACGTGATTTCATAGTACAATTATTGAACTTAATATATCATTTTTTTTTTGTCAAGATATATTAAAAATTGGCGAGGTACAGCAATTCTCCAAAAAAGTTTCTTTTTTGTGGTGACCACGATATATCTTAAAAAGTTTTTCATCGATAGGCTTCAAATTTGTCGGGATCATTCCACACGTGAAGGATTGCTGGATGAACGAAGGATTTTACGAAATTTCGATTTTTATCAAAATGGTAGTGGTTTTGACTGAAAAATCACTTTTTTAGGCTTATAACATTTTTGGTTTTCCTTAATAAAACAGTAAGTTTTCATAGAAAAAATGAATCCTTCGTTCATTCAGCAATCCCCCATGTGTAGAATGAGCCCTAAAAATTTGAAGCCGATCGGTGAAATACTTTTTGAGACATCGTGATCACCGCAAAAAAAGAAACTTTTTCAGAGAATTGCTGTTCCTCGCCAACTTTTGAACATATCTTAACAAAAAAAAAAATGATATATTAAGTTCAATAATTGTACTATGAAATCACGCTATTTTCGATTAAAATAATTCATTTTAGTTATGAGAAAAAATTCTTGAATTTCGCCTATGACAACTGCATATAACCCCTTAAGGGGATGTGAAAGTGGCATCTGAAAGGTCAATCGTTCATGAAATTTTTCTCCGAACTGGGTACGCCGAGTCGTTTAGAACTTTACAACGTGAATATGGAGACCCTAAGATAAGTCCTGAAACTCGCGAAATTTCATTCTTTATAAAAAAATTTGAAAACATCTATAAACGAATTTTTCAAAAATTGAAATTTCATGAGTTTCAGGACTTTACATATACCTTTCATATTAATAGTGTAAAGCTTGAATCGATTCGGTACATCCAGTTTGGAGAAAAGTTTCATGAACGAGAACTCTTTGACGCCACTTTCACATCACCTTAGAAATAAACTGGGTCTTACGGCGATCATCGGCTCGGAGAGAAGAATGTCCAAGACGATGGGAGCGAGAAGAGATTCGGTCCGTTCATCGGCTACTTCGACGGCCTTGATCTTCAGTCCTCCAAGGTTCTCCTTGGCGACGTGCAGCAAGACGGTTAAAGCATGCAGCTTGGCCTTGTCAGGGTCCTCGACCAGGGAACTGGAGTTGTCGTAGGGCACGAAGACGTATCTCTCGTGTTTCGGAGCAGCCTGAGTTTGCTGTCTCCTCGGCGCCAGAGAGGCCTTTAACCCCCTCAGCTCGACTCCGCCCGATTTAACGATATTCACGTCTTTATAGTTGTGAACGGGGAAACCCTCTTCCTTCACCTCGGCGACGAGTTGCTTGTGCAACGCCGGATTGATGGCAACGTACTGCAGACGGGTAGGCAAATAAAGGTCCCTGGTGCTTTGGCTCAGGATGGAGAACTGGAGCATGGTGTCAATGAACGCGATCCAATCCGAGGACCAGGTAAGTACTCCCGAGATGCCTCTGTTGTCCGCCGACTTGATCCCCTGGAAGATGTTGCTGTAATCGTACCCTCTCAGACGAAGGTCCTTGTACACGTCGCTGGTGTTCAGCCTAAGGAGTCCAGGTTCCTTCGAGATAACCGGAGCCTGCAAGTCGATCTGGTCCTTCTCTATATTTTCAGAAGCCCGGATCTTCCCGGTGACGGCGACGGACCCACCCTCGCAGATCTCGAAATCCCCGGTGCCATCGAAAATGTTGATAAGGAACTTGACGGAGCCCTCCTTGGGCATGATCGTCGCGCGGTGGAATTGCACGCCCTCGAGGACCACCGGCAGCTGCTCGAAATCGACCCCTCGCAATTTTGCGAAAGTTTTCCAAACCAGGGTGAGATATCCAGTCGCAGGGAAGAGTATCCTGCCGTCTATCGTGTGACCAGCCAAATAGGCGAACTCGTCCTTGGAGAGGTCCACGTCGATGACGCTCTCTCCGGAATGGGCGCTCTTTCCGCCGAACTTGGCCACGTCCCACGGCAAGGAATGGTCCCATTTGATGATGGAGTTGATCATGGGCGTTCCTCGACCCACCGGGTAATTTACCGGTGGGTACAGCTTGGCCAGCTTCGGTTGAGCCCCCGCGTTGTAGATCTTTCCGATGCTGTTGAGAAGGAAGTCGAGGTTGTCCGAGTGGCCTCTCATGTGCAGCCCCACGTTGGTCACGGTTGGCGCCAAGGACCTGCGCAGGATCGCCTGGAGCAGACAATGTGGAGCTATTTCGATGAGGATGGCATTGTCGGGAACATGGTCCAGAGCTTCCTGGAAGAGAACCGGGGACAACAGGTTGTTGACGTGGTAAGCAGGGGAGCTGAGCTGCGCCAGCGACGTTCCCCAGGCAGCTTCTGGGATGGAGGTGGAGATCCACCTTGGACTGCGAGGTTTGGGGTTGGGGATGATCTTTTCCAGGACGGCGCGCAGCTTAGGCCCGGCTGAGGATATGTACGTGCTGTGGAAGGCCACCCCGGAGCTGTTGACCACCCTGGCGAATATGTTCTCCTTCTTCAGCTCTTCCACGAATTTCTTGACCGACTCCAGGGGCCCGGAGACTGTGACGGAGTCGGCCGCATTGTGGCAAGCCGGCGAGACGTCCGGTGGGCACTTCTTCTTGGTCTCCTCCCAACTCAAGCCCACCGCCGCCATTCCACCAGGTGGTAGATTCGAGTCGAGAATCGATTTTCCTCTGGAATACGCGGCTAGGACGGTCTGCTCCGGTGTGAAGGTACCATCGGCGTACGCACATCCTAATTCTCCGACTGAGTGACCGGTTATGAAATCCGGCTGGATGCCGAGCAACGTCAGGACGTCCACCAACGCCACCTGAATCGCCGCGATGGAGACGAACGAGTTCAAGACGTTGTGGAAGGTCTCCTCCTCGCTGTCGTTGATGAGACTTATCAAGTCGATGCCCACAGGTTTCAGGGCCTCGGCGCAGCGACGGATGCTGCGCTGGAACGTCTCCAGGCGGAAGAGGTCTCGTCCCATCCCGGCCCACTGCGATCCCATCCCGGAGAAGATGAACCAAATGGGTCGCTTTTCGGCTCCGCATTCGCCGATTTCTCGGGTACACTCTTTCCCCAAAATCTGGTAGCCACGGAAACGATGGCCAGGGATATTGTTCGCGTGAAGGTCGTGGACCAGCGCGATGAACTCGTCGTCCCTTTCGTGTTCCCTGACCTTGTCCAGGAAGAAGCCGACGGCCTCCTCCGTCCGACCGGACACGGCCACGATTTTCGGCAAGGTGGCGTCCAAGACCGGCGACAACTTTGGTTTCGGATTGCTTCGCAACAGCAAGTGGGCATTGGCCCCACCAAACCCGAACGAGTTGACGGCCCCCAGTCCGCCCTTCCAGGGTGTATTCTTGTCGACCACCTGAATCCTGCCGTCGCTTAACGCGGGTATATCCTTGTTCGGGGTCTCGAAGTGTAAGTTGCCAGGAATGGCTCCCTGCTCCATGGCTATGAGCATCTTGGCGATGGAGCAGAGGCCGCTGGCCGCCTCCGAGTGCCCCATGTTGGACTTAACCGAGCCGACGAGCAACGGCGACTTCCTGTCTTTGCAGAATAATTCCGCGATGGAGTTGACCTCCTCGGGGTCGCCGACCTTGGTGCCGGTGCCGTGTGCCTCGACGTAGACCACGTCCGCCGGGTTGACGCCCGTCTCGGCGTACAATTCGCGCATCAATCGGTTCTGCATGCTGCCACTCGGAAACGTGATGCCCTGGACCTTGTGGCCGTCGGTGTTGACCCTGGAGTTGACCACCGTGGCGTAGACTCGCTTAGCGTCCCGAGCCTTTTGCAGATAAATTACCACGAACGCTTCCGACCTGACGTAGCCGTTACCCGAGGCATCGAAGGCCTTGCACATGCCATCCGGGGACAACATGCTCAGTCTGTGGAACTGGAGCGAGTTGGTGGGCTTCAGAAGAAGACTGGCACCCCCGACGATGGCCGCGTCGCACTGGCCCGTCTTCATGGCGGTGATCGCCTGGTGTAACGCCACCATGGAGGACGAACAAGCGGTGTCCACTGCGAAGCTGGGCCCGTTAAAATCGAATGTGTAGGAAATCCTGTTCGGGAACATGGCGCGGCAGCATCCCGTCAGACCATACCCTGAAACAATTCAACCTTCAGCTAGAAAATCCTGGATTTTGAGATGCATCCACCTAAATCCCCGTTTCGACGTCGCGCATCTAATCGAATTCCAAATACAACGACCCGATTAAGCGAAATTTAAATCTATTCAAGGGGTCTCTCGAGAACACGTTACGTAAATTACATGCAAATGTCCTAGTTATGTACGCATGAGGATGATAATTCCCACTTTCGACGCATGCTATCGACACCTGGATTACATAATTTGAGGACATGAACTTGAAACTGGAGTTAATTTGTGGGCGTACACGGGGGATGGTACTTGAACTCAGAATTTTTTTAAACCGATAGGGGTTGCCCTTAACAGCTAAGAAAATTCAGAGCCTCCCACCAGAACCTCAAAAACGTTAAAATGGTCATTTTCGAAATTTGTTTGTTTATTTTTAACAGCTGTGGTTTTTATAAGAACAAAATGGCACAGCAAAACTCAACATAGCACAAACGTCTACATCACGGAAACATTCCAATGAGCCTGTTAATTTTGTTTGTGCCTCAAACTGGATTCTAGATTCCCGCAGCCTGCAGTTAGCTGCATTCTTGAATTATCATAACATCGTCGATCCGTCCGAAATCAGGATTTGATTTGATTTGATCCTATTGGATGAGATCGGATGGATAATTTACCGGTGACTTTGTCGGGATCGGCCGTCCAGAATTCGCTGGACTCCGAGTCGGAGACGCCGATGAAAACGCCGGTCCTCGAGCCCCGGACGTCGGTCGGGTTGACGCCGGCGTCGGAGATGGCTTCGTGGGTCAGCTCTAGGAGCTGTCTGAGTTGCGGGTCCATAACGTGTGCTTGTTTCGCGTGCACCCCGAAGAAGGTGGCGTCGAAGGAGGAGATGTCCTTGACTTTGCCCGTCCTGGTCGGCAAGCCGTGCAGGCCGGACGGCCATCGACGCTCGTCGTCGGTAACCAGGTCGACGCCATCGAAGAGCTGTTGCTTGAACTCCTCGATATTTGACGACTCGGGCAGGCGACCTGCATTCGATGCCCCGGCGTTAAAACGTTATAAAAAGATCGTTCTGTACATATAAAAACGTTCAAATATTTATAAAAGTTTTCTTAAAACTGGGTGCACCGAATCATTCGAAACTTCACGTGATTACGGAGGCCCTAAGGAAGAATGTGGTGCTAATGAAATTTTGGTTTATCCCAGACTAGAATCAAGAATACACATTAAAAAAAAGAAAAAAAAAAAAGAAATGAAATTTCACGAGCACCACGTTCTTCCTTAGGGTTTCCATAATCCCGTCTAGTTTCAAATGATTCGATGCATCCAGACTGAAGAAAAGTTTTATAAATATTCTGACGTTTCTATATATACGGAACGACCCTTTCATAACACCTTAAAGGGATGTGAAAGTGGCATCCGAAAGGTCAATCGTTCATGAAACTTTTCTTCAAACTGGGTGTATCGAATCGTTTCAAACTTTACAACACGTGAATGTGGAGACCCTAAGGTAGGTTTTGAAACTCATGAAATTTCATTTTTACAAAAAAACGTTGAAAACATCTGTAAAGAAATTTTCTAAAAATTGAAATTTTATGGGCGTTAGGATCTTCTTTATAGCTTCTACATTCACATTGTCAGGGTCGAAACGATACGGTACACTCAGTTCGGAGAAGAGTTTCATAAACGAGACCTCTTCACGCCACTTTCACGTCACCTTAATTAAATGGTTTCCATGAAAATGGTGGAAAGTTAATTCGACAACTCCTTCTAGACTCCTCCATTCGCGAAAATGGCGACCAAACGTTCACCTGAGAAACCGCTGATGACGATGTCGTCGTCCAGACCGTGTGACACCCCGTTGCTGACGACCGGCTCGCACATCACTGGATCGTTGATGCTTTCGAATCTGGCAGGCATTTTCGTATTTGTCCTTTAATGGCGGCTCGGAGTCGCCCGAAGAGTCGTCTCGGCGGAATCGGTCGAACGAGACAGCCTAGTGGACAGTAGGCTGAAAATAGAAGAAAAAGAATTAAAATTCAAGTAATCAATACGACAAAAGGACGGTGCATCGTTATCGACTCTAAATGAAGACATTCGCTGTACGGAGTTCTCAGCCCCGGCTCGACGTTACGACGCACAAGTGCACGTAAGCGCATCCACAAGTGCACATAGGCGATCGAGGTCGCGACAATTGCCACGAATTGACGTACAGAGACTGGCCCGAGGCGCACTTAATTCGGTAATCTCAATTGAATTCACAGAAGACCGACCAATTTGTTAATGATCTCTCGCCCGAGCCGAGGCTCGCGCGTCTCTTTCGCTCGCTCTTTCTCCGCGCGATTACAGGGGACCCGATTCTCGAGTTTACACGATCAACCTTCTTTTGCATGCAAAATTAATACTCTCGTATAAGACTTTCAAATGTTGACCAATGTCGCGACTTCGCAACAGTGCAACATTTTCTATGCGAATCCATTGGTATGCGAAAATAATCCGCGTGAACTCGAGAATCGGACGCAAGAGCTTGTAACGGCGCACGTTCGTAATGAACTTTCGCACGTCTAGGAGGCAATCGGGGCATAATCGCTCCCTATTAAGAGGATATGAAACATGTATATCTGAGAAGTAAATTCGTGGGGGAAAGTATTCTCCAAATTGGAGGTACCGATTTGTTTTAAAATTTCCCACAGGGATATGGAGGCCTTAAGGTGAAGTGAAACCCCCTTCAAATCAGTCGATTCGAATACAACACTTTGTTTTAAGGGTATTAGACCAAACTGTCCGAAACTTTGACACATCACTCCTCATCATCTAAGAGTTGTCCTGACACATTCAACATTTGGATTTTTTTTTTTAATTTTTTAACTCAGCCCAGACCAGAACCAAAATGCGGTCGAGCTCTGATATTTCGATCAATATACAATTATCGAAGGCTCTGATATGGGAAACGAAAGGGTCGGGACAATTTTATGACAATTTAGAACACTCTGGTAGTCGATAAACTCGCATTTGAACGGGATAAAGGCAAAAAAAGTGTTGTATGCGCTTCTATGCCAAAACGATGGTAATACGAGGTCTCGGAGTGAAAATTTAATTGACCTGAAAATCACAGATGGCGCAGGGGGTCCCTCTGCAGTCAATTAGGCCCCCAGAAAGCACGAATTCGGGGGATTTCTGGAGTTTTACTTCGATTTCTTTATAATTATTGTACGAAAACGACAGGTGGAGTACGCCATTTGGTACAATACCCAATATAATTCGATATAGCTGTCAATATAAAAACGAACGTCGGCAACGTAGGCATTTCGAAAAATCTTTATCGACGTTGATTAAGTTCCTCGACGTGTTTCACTTCACCTTAAACTAGGTCCCGAAACTCATGAAATTTCATTTTTCATCAAAAATTTATTTACTTATCATGGACTAGAACCAACATGGCGTGGTCTGTGCATGTTTTCGATGTTTTACGCTTCTTGGAGGCTTAGAATCGAAAATGAAGAGTTTCAGGACCTGGCTCGAACAATTTAGAATACCGTAGAAATGGAATATTACAGAGTCAGATGGGAAAATATGATAAATACTTTCACCAACGATTGCAAGAGATTGCAAGAGAAAAATCCTGCGGCTAAGGCGTGTTTTTGGAGCCAAAATTTAGTTGCAGCTAAACGTCACAGATGGCGACGTTGGTTCGTCGAAATATAAACAGTTATGAATTCATGGGATTTCGACAGTTGTGCATAGATCTTTTTATCATTACTTTACCGAAATGACATATGGAACCCCTTCAGTTCGTATAATTCTCAACGTAGACTGTAAAAGACTTCGACATAAATATAAATGTCGGTAATGGGATGCACCAGCATATGTTACCACTTGAGTATTCAGAACGGCATTACCCCCAAAAAGGAAGTAGATGAATTTTATTTTATCGACGTCGATTAAATTTCTTAGCGCCTTTCATATCCTCTTAACTAAACGAACCGACGACTCGTCTCGAGTCCCGTTATCGAGCGGAAACGATGTCTAAAGTGACACGGTCGTGTAACGACACGCCGATTGCGCGGTGCAGTCGCGGACCGCTACGCTTCTGCATATCGAGATTCGGTTGAAAAACAGAATTGAAATTGGGAAATCGTCCAGAATTATTTCCCTCCCTCCCCTGGGGAGATTCCCTCATCTCGGGGTACAAACACTTTCGGTTTCTCAAGCTCGTTATTTGACCAAAGAATTTATCAAGCGCCCAATGTCAACCGGCGTATGAACCCGCGCGTCTTTCCCAACATTTCGGATCCGCCTAAACAGAGAAGATAATACTTGCATCACATTATCAAATTCGTTTTTCCACGCAGGATTGCCACTATCACAGGCTTCGATTCTTCAAGGTTCGCCCAGAGCTTCCTCGAATTCGCGCGGAATTCATTGATATAAGTTTCGAGACATCTCCTTGAAGATACGGTGAAATCCTTCCTCGGAAGAGAATTCGAGATTAAAAGAAAATTCATTAAAATTCATTAAAATTCATCTAAATTCATTTCGAAGCCTATCTCTCTCTCGAGCGGGGAACTTCCTTTAGGTGAAGTGAAACACGTCGAGGAACTTAATCGACGTTGATACAGAAGATTTTTCTAAATACCTACGTTGCCGACGTTGGTTTTTATATTGACATTTTATATGACTGGACCGAATTATATTGGGTATTGTTCTAAATGGCATACTCCACCTGTCGTTTTCGTACAATAATTATAAAGAAATCGAAGTAAAACTTCAGAAAATCTCTGGATTCATGCTTTCTGGGCACCTAATTGACTGCAGAGGGACCCCCTGCGCCATCTGTGATTTCCAGGTCAATTAAATCTTCACTCCGAGACGTCGTATTCCCATCGTTTTGGCATACAAGCGCATACAACACTTTTTTTGCCTTTATCCCGTTCAAATCCGAGTTTATCGATTACCAGAGTGTTCTAAATTGTTGTAACATTGTCCTGACCCTTTCGATTCTCATATCAGAGCCTTCGATAATTGTATGTTGATCGAAATATCAGAGCTCGACGCCATTTTGATTCTGGTCTGGGCTGAGTTAAAAAATTTTTTTTTTAAATCCAAATTTTGAGTGTGTCAGGACAATTCTTAGGTGATCAGGAGTGATGTGTCAAAGTTTCGGACAGTTTGGTCCAATACCCTTAAAAATAAGTATTGTATTCAAATCGACTGATTTGAAAGGGGTTTCACTTCACCTTAAAAGAAATGTAGTGAAAATTTCTCGAAGAATTCGCTCGTTTATCGTCCAGAAGGTGATCACGCGTTCATCGAAAGCGTTCGTCATCTCGACTGATCCGCGTCGCGCGAGACGGAGAGATAGCCATGCGTTATCGGAATGTTTTGCTGAGAGGTTGAAACGCGAGGGGGGAAAAAAAGCGTCCAATCATGCGTTGCGTCACGCAAAGCCGTAATTTCGCACCACGTGCAATGGAAGCTATCGTTTGATAACAGCGGAGTCGTCTAACGCTCTTATTGATCCCACCGGGTCTCGATAACCCGATAGTTTCCCTCGCCGATTCCTTGGACAGCTTCTGCCCGTGCGATTTTGCTATCGAAGCCGACCGGAGAGAATATCCACGAATTCTCCACGAATTCCCCGCGTGATACTTCCCTACCTCGATAACCGTCGATAGAAATTTCCTGATTCAATCGCGAATATAAAGTCACTAGCTCCAACTCGATCGATGCATATCGCGCTTTATATCGCGCGACATTCACCTTATCGGCTTCATTGACGGCCTCGTTGAACGTATTCCAAATTTGCATCATGTATCGTGTACCGTGCATTTATATTTGTCCAGAAGGAGCGAAAAGCGCGCATCATGTAACATATGAAGGAAATATTTACAAAGGAACAAAGGCAAAATGATCGGAAGTCCATGGGCGGCCCTATTCCAAGGATCGTGGGCGAGAAGACGCGAGCATTGTTTAGAAGACGTGATCATGGCGTAAACTTCTGATACGGTTAAACCAAGACTGCCCCTAGGAACAGTGGACAGAAAGGGCACTCGGTTTTGGACCACGGAATCCAGCTGTTCGCTCCTATTCGAAAAACTCTAGTTTTGAGACATACACGCATATTCGTGAAGGAAATAAATCAAAGGGCCAAGGGCAAAATGATCGGAGGTCCATGGGCGGGCCTATTCCAGGAATCATAGGCGAGAAGACGTGATTATTATTTAGAATGCGCCTAAACAATTGATACGGCTAGACCAAGACTGCCCCTAGGAGCAGTGGACAGAAAGGGCACTCAGTTTTGGATCACAGAATCCAGCCGTTCGCTCCTATTCGGAGTACTTTAGTTTTGAGACATACACGCATATTCGTGAAGGAAATAATTCAAAGGGCCAAGGGCAAAATGATCGGAGGTCCATGGGCGGGCCTATGCCAGGAATCACAGGCGAGAAGACGTGATTATTATTTAGAATACGCTTAAACAATTGATACGGCTAGACCAAGACTGCCCCTAGGAACAGTGGACAGAAAGGGCACTCAGTTTTGGACCACAGACTCGAGCGGTTCGCTCCTATTCGGAATACTCTAGTTTTGAGACATACACGCATATTCGTGAAGGAAATAAATCAAAGGGCCAAGGGCAAAATGATCGGAGGTCCATGGGAGGGCCTATTCCAAGAATCACAGGCGAGAAGACGTGATTATTATTTAGAATACGCTTAAACAATTGATACGGCTAGACCAAGACTGTCCCTACGAACAGTGGACAGGAACGGCACTTGGTCGAGAATCATAGAAAGGAATAGTTGGACCAATTTCTATACGTCTCGTTGAGACTTACATATATCATTTTTAAAAATTAATAATCCGTGAGTCTACGAAAATATAGACTTGTTAATAGTAGATTCCCCTCGCTAATTTCGCCTCCTATATTTGTCTTATAATAAGCCATCATACCAGGCTGCGAGATATACGAAATATAGGAAAGTTGTTAATAGTAGACACATGTATTTT